ACACACACACACACACACTGATAAGCACAAACAGGCATGTGTGTCCGCACCAGCTCCAGGCTACTGAACAGAATTTATAATTTCTGTTGCTGCTTGGTGTGTGAACCCCATTTAACCTCAGATACCACACACACACACATTAATGCACATTTTCATATCTGCCGTGCACTTTTCAGATTCAGATGAACAAAACCTGAATCCACATGTGCAACACACACACACACACGCACACACGCGCACACACACACACACACTTTCATAATGATAAACCAGCAACATATCCTTCTACACTCCTCCCCAAGTGTGTGTATTTACGAGTGTGTCTCTCCTCTTTTTCTTTCCCTGTAGCCTCCATGAAAAAATATGCATCGGACCAAAAATTATAAAAAAATATGAAAAGTATAAGTTTAATAGATTTTTCCCAGCAGCCTGTATGTTCCTATAAATAAACCTGTTGTATATTAATTTGAGGAGAAATCCTTCTGTTTCCATAGAGTAGATTAGAACAGAGTATTTCTCGATGTGTTGTACGAGTTTTCGTTTAATTTTAGTTTTCATGTGAATGAACTGAGGCGGAAACACACTCACAGTGTTTCAGGTCATTTCCGTTGTTTTGAAAAACGTGTGATGAGGGTGTGAGTCAAGAATGAAACATGTGTAAAATAATCTGAATTAATATTATTGTTAATGTTATTACTATACTTAAAATATGAAGTCTGAATCTGACATTTACGAAATTAAATTTTAAAACGGTTTAAAGTCATTTTTCTGTGTGTGTGTGTGTGTGTGTGTGTGTGTGTGTGTGTGTGTGTGTGTGTGTGTGTGTTGGCCATAGCCATAACAAAGCTGTGGATCTGTCAGCTGTTCACTGGAGGTAAAGACTTTTGTTTTGTCACAGACTTTCAGTTTTTGAAAAGGTCTTTACAAGGACACATGAGGCAACCCACATCCCCCTGTGTGTGTGTGTGTGTGTGTGTGTGTGTGTGTGTGTGTGTCAGTGTGGTATTATTTTGAAAACACGGTCACAAACTTACCCTACCTGAAATAATCCATTTTACAGAAGATCTCTTTGTTCTTGATGTAGCAGCTGCTGTGCTGACGCAGAGACGTCCTGCACACTGAGCACTCCAGACAGCGCACGTGCCAGATCAGGTTGTTCACCTGCACGGAGACACACAAACACACACACACAGACATACACACGATAAATCGCTGCAATGAGGACCCATCGTGCTGCTGCTGTGTTGTAACTTTTTGTTTTGAGAGAAGTCAATAAAGTGAATCCGTTTGATGTAATAACAAAACTTTAAATACAACTATAATATAAATATAATTGTATATGAATATGAGGCTCAATAATGGGATTATAATCTCTGTGATTCTCGAATTATTCTACGACGGTTTCCTTTTAATATTCATTCAATAATAGGGACTGGTGTCCAGAGATATTTTATACAATGCACATTTTCTCTGGATCTTTCTTTTTGCTTTAGATGTGTTTATATCATATTCCACATGTTATTAACACCCCAAGACTTCCGTGGTTATTTATGCAGTAAAGTTATATTGTTGTTATGCAGTAGCCCAGTGTATTATCGTTATATTGAGAACTGTCAATCTGCACCCAAAGTATTTTCCTCAGGCCCCAATGACGTTTTTTGGTTGAAATATGTTCACATTTATTTTTGCTATATAATAATTAATAGTGATAATTATCACGCGTGAAAAAAATGGACCAATCCGTGAAAATGACTGATGGAATTATCAAATGCACTTTGAGTTTTTTTTTGTGTTATTTTGTTGTTGCCTTCATGACAATTTAAATTATTTTATAATTAATGGCGAGAAACCACAAATGTAGAATAAATAGTTAAAAAGGTCTAGGATAGTGTAAACATATATAAATAGTTTTAGAATATAAAATTGTGTTTGCATCTTGTGACCATTATTCTGCTCAGTGAGCTGCCTGAGAATTATTGCAGCTTTGGTTTTAAATAGTATGACTTTTTCTTTCGACCACTTATTATAACAATTACATTATAACCGTTATATGATTTTACTCATGCAGACATTGGTCTGCAGCAGCTGACAGGGTGAAATATCCAGGCAGAAAACAGGGTTAATTAACAAAGAAAAAAAATAGCTTAAATAAATAAATCCTGCATACAAGAGATTGTATCGCATTATGCAAGATTACACGTCATTATTTTACCAGTTTATTTATTTATTCGTAATTTACAAATTATTAACCAAAATAATTTCATCTTGTATTCGATTGTATAAAGAAATTGAATTAAAGATAATGTGCAATCAGGCCTGGACCTCGACACCACAAACAAATGAATTCTTTTTTAAATTATTATGTTATTAGTTTTATCTTTTTTTAATTTATTTTAGTTTGGTTTCCTAAAATAAATGATTTGAATAAAATAACAGTCTCGGTATTTGAACTCTCGCAGAGACTGAGAACAAAACGGAGTCAGATAATGGACTAATGATCTTCTCACTTCCTGACAAACACACACTTTGGAGCGCGAGTAAAGGTTGGACACACGCGAGCGCACGCGTCAGGGCGCATGAAGAGTGAGACAGTAAAACAGTAAAAACCAAAACATCCATGTTGTGTCTGCGGGCTCCTGAAGACCGTCTGGAGCTGTGACTGTGTTTCCCAGTGTTCAACACTGGTGATAACATCAGTCACATTCAGACACAAGGACTGGAAGCTTGTTTTCTGGTTTGTTTTTGTTCCTGTTGCAGCTACAACATAATTATATTATAAATTATAAATGAATTACAAGAAAAACATGTTTTGCAATATTCCACATGAATAATTATTAGTGACGAATTTGTAGCCTTATTTGTGCCGAATATTATTAATTCTCCTAATGCAACAAGAAACCTTTAGTTGAGGCTTTCTGTTCATTCATCAGCAGGCCTCTCCAAACCACCGGCTCCTGCTCCACAATATGTTTAACTGTCTGTTTGTGCCAATGAATGTAAAAAAAATAAAAACATCGTGCAGTTTCACTCGGTTTCAGTTCAAGGTTACTCTCGGCCTCTCACCTTCAGCAGATATCTGTCCACGATCTCCAGACCGCAGCTGGCGCACACGTTCTTCCCGGTGGACGGCACGGAGCTGGTGGTGGAGGTCGGCGAGCACACGGAGGGGGTGGACGGGGTGCTCGGGGACGAACGCGTGTCCTCCCGCTCCATGTTGGACCGCTGCGATTCTGCGTCCGATTGAGACTGCAAGAGGACACCAGCACAGCTCAGAAACACATCGTGTGGATGTCGCCATTTTCATCACCGTCCACACATTTAAATGTTTATTTGCATGGATCCTATAGATTCCACGAGTGCGCATGGACCAAATCGTGCGTAAAAGGTGCACTGAAGGTATTTCACAACATAAACACACATAAAGCTCTCACCATTGTCGCGTGTTTGGACTCCACACTGCAGCGCGAGGCTCCCGGTGTACTCTGGTGCTCAGCAGAGATCACCTACAACACAACGTGCAGCACACGGTGAGTCTTCATCACTTCTCCCGTCTCATCTTCAGCTGAGAGACCCCCGGGAGACATTTGCAGACAAGCTCTTCACGGCCGCTCCTATATAAAGTCGTCCTGACAATAAACCCCGGTTAAAAGCTGCTAAAAGGGGCCCCCGCCACAAAAGGAACAATTTAATGAAGCTATTTCAATTTGGATTGATTTTGTTCCCTGCAGCCCTTAACCCATGCCTCTCAGAATAATAGTATTTCCTTCGCAATCCAGGACACGAGAGTGTAGGGGGGGTTAGGGGTGTGTGTGTGTGTGGTGGGGGGGCTACCTGTAATTACAAATAGCTTGTGGATAAGAGGGACCCGGAGTGTCAATTTCATCTGTCAATCAGAAAGAGGCAACGGGTCACCCAAAGAATTGCAAATTTGATTTTTAATGGCTGTAATTAAAATCTAATTCTTTCTCGGGCGCAATTGGCAGCGCTCGAGAGGCTCGCTCGGACCGCAAATCACGCTATTCATACCGGAGAGAGAGGCGCGTGCTTCCTCACGGCTGCTGGCGCGTGCAGCTGATCGCAGCTCAGACACACACTCACACACAAGCGGTGATTCTTGCGACATCATAGAAGAGACAAAACAAAAAGTGGCACACACGAAGGTGCCATGAAATCAGCTGCAGGGAAGAAGACAAAGTTTGGTGAATCGAGATGATTTCTCACCGAGGCCACTCACTGCATCGTTACAGTCAAATCAGCACGTCACACCCATAAAAAGCTCACTCGACTCTAACTAAACATTAAGGCCCACACGGTGCGTAAAAGCTCTCCAATTTGAGCCATTTTACGCACGGGGATGCAACTTTAAAAACATCTGTTTCCAAAGTGTCGGTACCTGCTTCGTGGGAATTCCGTCGGACAGAATCTTATTTCCCTCTGAGAGAGGGGACAAAACTTCATTTTTCCAGTACATGAACCCCCTGGAGTGACGCAGCCGTACAGTGTCTCCAAACTCGGTGCGTGGAATCAGGGGACGAGTCGGCGATGCTGGGCTTCAAAGCTCGTACCATCCGTACCGTGCATGGATTCTGGTGGGACTGAGGCGATCGTTTTGGTGTTTAACGCAAAAGACAAAAAAATGCTTTTCTCTACGTGAAACACTGCTGAGCTGTGCGTAAAGCTCTGACCGCCGCTCACACACACAACACAGAAGTTTTGCAGAGACGTGGAGTTGCTTGCTGCTCCTCAGAGAGCCTTATTTAGACCAGAAAGATTTCTTCCTCTCCTCTGGTTTCCCCCTCTCTCTCTTTCTCTCTCTCTCTCCCTCTCTCCACTTTTGGGAAGGAGTCTGACTACAGGAAGTGGATCAAATTGAAGGGTTGGCAGCTTTTACTCCGAGGCTTCATAGGTGCAGGGGAGGGAGAGACTGCGAAGACGACGAGAGCGCGACAGAAGGAGAACCGGGGCTGTCTGTGCGGAGCTGTGGTGGAAGTCAGTGCCTTATAGTTAAAGAAGGGGGAGGGCGAGGACAGGGCTTCATATGCGTGAGAAGGGTGGACACAGTTTGGAACAGTTATGACAGAAACTTTACTCACACTCCAACTCTGCGGGTGGATGTTTGATATCTCAGGTTTTTACAGCGGCTGCCAGGAGGGAAAATATATATTTAGTTATATGATTGCCATTTATTTGCTACTGGAAATACACAACTGCTGCTGACTGCATAACGCAGCAATTATCCCACATATAAATTGATCTTTTTATATAGATAGAGTTGCGTTTATATTAACAGTTCACAACTTTCTTCATTGAAATAAATTAAATGAAATATATGTATTCAAATTCCAATGTGCAGATTATTTTAATGGTGTAATAATTTGCCCCAATTTAAAATCCCCTTCATGACTTTAGATCTGTTTTTTTCCAAAACAAAAAATAGGTTTGGTTTTGTAATTAGACCAAATCAATATATTCTTTAGAAATAAATTCTGCAAACACACAATGATATGCAAGGAGAGACATGTTGAGGCAATGAAGGAAAGAAAAAAGAAATACTTACTCATATTTAAAAAAGAAATCTATGCAGCAATTATGACAAACTGGAGCTCATTAAAATGAACAAGAGGAGCTTGTGCAGATGAATTAAAATCGAGTCATTTAACAATAGAGAAGCCGGATAATTACAGGATATGCACGAGGCCACACATCGGTTTGGATCGATGTTTCGATCGTTGGTCTGATTCCACAATTATCTGTAAATCTGTAGTTCACAAACACCAAAACCCCAAAAATACACCCGGACCCAAAAAATAATTTAAAAACTTCGTCATTATTCTGCAGGAGAAACGACTGTGACATATTTGAACGAACGGGGCCTTTTTATTTAAAACAGATAAATGCGCACACATGGCACAAAGGAACCGTTCAGCTGATCTGACGAACATCAGAGATATTCTGCGATCTGGTGAATTTACAGCAACAAAGAAATGAGAACAGGAAACGACTGGGTGATGTCAAGAGGTAGGATTTGGTTTCTTCAGCTCGCGAAATAATGTTCTGTCATCTTTACAGTTATTGATCTGTCTCCCTGCTGTTATTTAGCTTTCATATTAATATCAGAGTTGAATATTATCAGTTAAAATATATTTTGCCCTGAAAAGGATTTTTTACAGCCTCACACTGCTTGTCACACAATTCAGATCACATCAAACACATCACTGTGCTCCATTAGAACAACACACAGGACAAGGTTCAACTTAAATTAAAAAAAATCCACATTAAACCAACATTCAGGATTGAAATTATTTACTAAAATCTTTTTGGGGAAAGCACAAATTAATTAACTATTTAATATTGAAGGAGAAATAAAGAAAATGGGGCTTAAAACATTATCAGTGTTTAAAATCACCAGTTATATTCAATTATTACAGACAAGGTGGTACCTCATGGTAATTCTATGTGGTTCAAAACATTTATGATCCACGCTGAATAACAGTGGTTCTGCTTTTATTAATATTTTAAAGAGGTTAAGCAGGGTAACCGAATTTCTTAGGATCCAATTCTTTGATTTCAGCAACAGACTGAGGGCATTTTAATGTTGCTGATAATAGCACAACTCATTTGGATCTGGAGTACAATCTATAAAATGTCATGAAACAACACGCTGCGGATGAGATATTTAATTACCTTTAATTGAAAATGAAAATAAAAACACTCTCCACACCACAAAACGTTTGCAAAAAGTGATTGGACTGCAGTCGTAGAAAAATTGGATTCAAGAAAAAAAAATATTAGGAAAAAAACATGACACAAAAAAACTGGTGCTTACATTAATAGTCGCTGAGTGGCTTCTCATTTAAACTCCATTAATACAAACCCGTTATAAATCTTATTTCTTTCTCCTGACGTCTTGAATCAAGACAAACACTGAAAAGTGAGGACACCTCATTTAAATAATTCGATCTAGAAGTTAAAACAAACAAAACTGAAACGCCTTAATAATAATTTCTCTTTTCTTTAGTGGCTGTAAATCACTGCTGGATGATGCACCTGCATTAAATCTCTGTAACAATGAGAAAGCTTGAGACTGATGAGGGAACCAACCTGTACAGCAGGCAGGTTTGGGATATCATTGAAGACTAAATGATAACTAATTATGTACTGAAAATAAAAATAATCATAATCGAAGCAATTCCAAAAGTGTCCTCACACTGTCAGTGCTCGGGCCCTGATAATAAAACACTTACTTCTCCTCAAAGAGTCCAGGGTCTTAAAGGAACAACTTCAAAAATCTTTTAGTCCCAGATAAAGTCTGTATAATATCTATTGTATAGAGTCTGTATGTGTGTGGGTGGGGGTCTGAGGTGTGGTGGTGGGGGTTGTCTCTGAGCATGGGGTCATCTCCTAAACTTGCGGAAGGGCCTGCTCTGGTTGTTGTGGTGGGATTTATTGTAGGGCTCCCATCGTTTCCTCTCTGGTGGTTTGTTGTGAACGTAGGCCGACGGGCCCGAGTAGTCATCGTCTGGATTCTCATCCATCATCTGGAGCTTGGCCTCGATGGCGCGGATTTTAGCACTCGTGCTGGAGGATGTGAGGAAAATAAAAGAGAGGGAGAGAGGAGATGTGAGGGCGGGAAAATACCAGTGTCGGACGTGAGGGTGAGAGACGGAATGAGTGATGGACAGATCTCGGCTCGTGGCTGAAGGGGGAAAGAAGAGGAGTTATTAGTGCTCTTAGTATTATGGAGAGAAGTGAGGGGAAAAGGGGAACGAGCAAGAGACTGCGAGAAAATCTGTTACTGAAGGAGCAAGTGAGAGGAGGTTGGAAGAAAGATTACGGTGCAGGTGAGTGAACGAGGAAACAAGTGAACAAGTGTAAGAGCGAGGGAACACCTAGAGGGGATATCGGTGCACGAAGCAGGAAAAGACTGTATATATTTCCTCTCCTGTTCTGTGCGGAGAGTGATTTTGAGGTTTACACTAGAATCAAAGTGTGCAACCTTTCCTGAGAAGCACCGTCGGCCAATGCTCTGCTACACACACTGGATTGTCTCGGCAAGAGTTGACACCACGAGCACAAGAGGCCTTTTAACAGTGCTCCATGTGACTGGCGCACTCACAGTGTGTGTGTGTGTGTGTGTGTGTGTGTGTGTGTGTGTGTGTGAGCATATGCTGATGTCAGGTCGCAAGTGTAGCCACAACAACGAAACATGTTGTAATTTACTTTGACAGAACTTTAGCGTTTCCACCCAGGAGCTTTTGGAGCCAAAGTGTGAGTCCAGATGAACTCAGCTTGAACTGAGGTTTGTGGCAGAACGCATCGAGCACTCCGAGCTCTGCTGTGATCATTTCAGGGCCGAGCTGGAGAACAGACGAGGATGTGTGAAGGTAGATGAGCGACACAGGTTAATGAAGGAGGCCGTATGTTCAAAAGAGGTGTTTGTGCCAATCGGAACGCATCTGCAGGTTGAACATACGATATGTAACTCAGCCACTAGGGGTCTCTCAATCAAAAAAGAACAGCGTTTAATGATGTCATTAAGCAGCGTGGGATCATGGGAGTTGATGTCTTGCCACCATTGCCGATGAAAATGTACCGGACGCCACTCAGGTGCAAATCATGTTCACGGATGAGGTTAAGTTTTCAAGTTTTATTCACGTTATGTAGAAAAGAGATATGAATATTTGTGATCCATTATGAGTGATAATTACAAAGGCAGACTAGCTAGCAGTGCGTTTTCCTTCGTCATAAGTTCTTTGACCCCGATGTTGATGTTGTAGTGGAGACGGACAAAGAAAGTGAAGAGCGCAGTGAAGAGGCGACCAAAATTCAACGTCCTGTTACCTTGAATACAAGTTTGGATTCTTTGAACCTTGTTGGAAACATTTTAAATGATGTAAGTAAACAAGTCAACAAAACATCATAACACACATGACAAATATCTAGTTGTTTTTAAACATTTTGAATTGTTACATATAATATCTTTGAAGTGTTTATAGCTATAGGGACGTGGGGGATAAAGCTCCACACAATGTTTCCTCGAAGGCGTTTATTGCGTTCATGAAAGTGAGAGAAGTATTGTGTGGAAATTTAAAGAGCTTGAGTGAGACGTGCAGGACTTGCATGTGAATGTAACAATGCCAGTTTCCGAAAGTTACACAAATTGCCAGAGGAATGTTGTTTCAGATCGTCCAACACACGGTCAGCTTAGTAACTTCTGTCTCATGCAATTGGCTAAAATGACATTTAGGAGAAAGTAGAGGCAAATAAATTTTTTCCTTAAGTTTCCTGCCAGACAGCTTCTAACCATGTCACGTAATCCTTTTCGAAAGGTTCAGTTTTCCATGTCAATTTCAGATCCATCCACTCTGGAGGCTGGTTTAAGCTTTAATCCACTATTTAAGTGTTTTCACATTCAACCATTTAAGTGTGGACGTACACTAAGAGGAGTGAAAACACTGCAACAGCAACGATTAGAACTGTGTTGTGTGTTTTGTACCAACCTGAGGTGATTGGCTGTTAAGGCTCCGTCCTCTCCCGCACCGCTGCACGACGGCTCCAGGCTCGGAGGCATCGTCTTGTCGTTACGGAAACCTTCAAACCTCTGCAGATGACACACACATGGACCAAACCAAAAAACAACCACACAAACAGTGATGGACACAGATGGAGAGACACAAACAAAGGGATAAAATAACAGGTGAGAAAGAGACATGTTGACAGTCACAGAAACAGACAGTCAGTGGGAGAGACTAAAGATGGAAGACAGTCCTGTTCAGACAGAGAATCTAATGCAGATTGTGTGTCGATGCTGATGATGTGGATTACAGCTCCCACCCAGCATCTCATTACATCTAGAATTTTGTTGTGGCTGATAAACTTGGAATTTTTGTTTCTGCTAAACACACAAAAACCTGAGCATCACTGTTTGTCACTAAACTGTTGCGTTGATTTTGTTTGCGTCTGGTCAAACAGACAGAAACCAAACGGGAGCGTGTGTGCGTCCAGCTCATGGTCACGCCCTAAAGGCATGAGGGAGCAGCTGAGGAGCCACAACCAACGTCTGCACTCATTCCTTTCAAAACCCCCTTCCACACATCTCCACCAGCCAACACAGACTTCTTCAAACCTGTGGAGAGAAAAAAAGAAAGAGACAAAAACAAAACAGGGGTCACATGACGAGTTTGAGAGACACCCCCCCCCAGCCATTGGCAGGAATGTGATGCTTGGAAATCATCGGACAGTGTCACAGCTGCTGGACGTGGCACTGAAGTTAAGTTACATACATGCACGAAAAGCACACACGAGGTCTTTCATTCTGTCCGGAGAAATAAAGAACATGTAAAGCTAAGAATAGGTCTAAAACAATGACTGCTCCACCAGCCAGGACCCTTCCCTTCCACCTATTTCTAAAGGCTCGTAGCTGGAATGCATAAAAACATCTCAGCAGCCTACACTATAAAAACCTCACAGCTGGATTTAAGTGTTTAACATGTTACATGGCTGATAACGGTCACATGTCATGTGCAAAACCATTAACTACGTTTTTTATACAATAAACTGCTGATTATTTTCTCAAATAATCAACAATTTATTTGATTGTAACTTGACATATTGAAATTGCTTCTTTTTAATTTTTAAATATTTAGTAATTTTATCTTAAAAAAGGCTATTAGGTCAATTAACAGAACAGTTGCCAGTGAATGCTCGATGGATGGATTGGAATCAATTTATTCTCATGAACCTTTAAATGTGCATCATTTCTCTTTTAACCATCAACCAGACTGGGACTGGTGAATCAAGCCTGCATGGCGGTATCTGGTTCAAGTACATGTTAGTTGCATGTTAATTACTGTACATCTTTCCTTTTCAATAAACATTCACATAACAGACAAAATGGCTAAACTGTGTATTGATCAATATAAAACAATAAGACACAATTGTTAAACAGTTGCAATGATAGATTTGGAAATTCAAGGATGTTTGTTGAGAGTAGGACCAAACACTTCAATGCTAAAATGTCCATCAACATAATTTCCTCTCTTTCAATACAATGTAATAAAATCAAGATGTAAGTGTGGAAATCTGTCGATGACTCCAGCACAAACTGTCTCTGACTCACTTATCCCAACATGTCACTTCTGTGTCAGAGTCAGTGAAGAGAAACCTGGTCAAAAAACTCAAATATCACATTCAGCTGAACGCACGCTGGCCCCACTGCTGGAAAACTGCTCAAATATTAGTGGTCAAATAAAGATCACACTGTAAAAAGCACAGAGAGAATTTCAACATGAGACTTCAGCTCTTGTGTCTCAGAACAAAACCCAAAATCACAAATACCACCTTCATGGGCTGTGTGTTCAACGATAATCAGCGCATCAAACTTAAGAAAATCCCAAGTGATTGCCACTGGCTGAGAAGGTCTCATATGTTTAACTCTTTCAGGATAACTCAACATTTAAACTTTATCTCATCAGAAAGATAGAAAGAAAGTGCAAAAACACAGACTCTCATCCTCCCACTCACTCTGCAGCTTCACAAACACATGAGAGTACAACAACTGTGACTCACAATAAGACACAGTTGTTGGAGCCTAAAGTTTTATGCACTAAGTCCTAAAACTAGTTCCTGTATGTAACAGACACCGGAACCACTTTCTTCCAATAAAAAGTAAAAACATAAAAACATAAAATTGTCAGTCTGGTGTTTATGGAAGATTTAAGATAAAAACTGTTCAAATTCACAGTTTATCACACCATCATAACCCGGGTTTCTATTTTTGGTTGTAACGGTGGATCGAGTTCAGCCACAATCAATGTGTGAGCAGATTTATCCGACAGAGTGTTGTCTCAGAGGCGGCAGGGTTGACCTTGACCTCACGATAGTATGTGTATGTGTGTGTGTGTGTGTGTGTGT